CTCACCCTTTTATACCACTTCACACAGGAGATAGAACGCAGGCACCTATGATCAAAGACAGCTAGCCAGGCTTTTCATATCTTCCACTCACAATAGCCAGGTCTCACTCACAGCCATAAAGGAGGATGGAGCGGACTGATTGAGGAGAAGTACACACAACCTTTGGTCGACAACCAGCCGGATACTACGTCTACGTCAGAGACAGCGTAAACTGGCATATGCGAAACTAGCCTTCTGTATCCGTGATGAGATTTCGTCAGCGATCAACCCATTGGGGCTGATGCAACTTCCCAAATAAGTGAAGTGATCAACATGCTCTACCACTTCACTCCCTATTTCTATGCTAGGAGTCAGTGTAGTGTTACTGAAGAAGGCCAGTGATAGCTAGGCATGCATAACACATGTCCTAACCATCTCAGTCAATGTAGCTTCGCAGCCTCGTCGATTGATTTCTCCTCCTTACCTAACACTCAACGGCTTAACCTCAATATCGCTTACTCGATTATACCACCTAACACGGGAGATAGAACGCAGGCACCTATGATCTAAATTGGATTACCAAGGTAGCTTTAAAGTAATAACAAATAAGCAACAAATGTTTTCAACCCCTTCTTTATTTGTTTTTCTTCCTTTCTTACCCACATCATTACGTCATCTACCTACTCATTATTTGTGACCTTGACCTGTACACAATCTGAACCGTATTGTAACGATTCATGCCAACTCTTGCCTTCTATATAACTGTGTATGACAAGTACTCGTGTGTGTGTAATCAGAATGTTCGAAATGTGTCGCGCGCAAATTCACATTACAAGTTTCAGATAAACTACGTCTTCTTATCATGTTGTCGAAATTTATAAAGGGAATTAATTACCTTATATGGTGAATTCAACGCACAGATATTGCACATTATCTCACATGACAGCATATGTGAACATAGCTAAAAAATATCAAACCAAGACCAATGAGAGTTGCATAAGTAGTCATAATTGACTAATTGACAGATGACCAGTAGTTCAGCGAAGAGTCTCTTTTCGTCGGCGAATTCATTTTCATAGCTGTACAATCGCAAATATATATATATATATATATATATATATATATGGTTGTTTTGTATGTGTGTGTGTACATTAAATTTGACAAACGAAAATACAATTAGTAAGTTCAGATGAATTGGATATTGATATAAGAGGGTAGTAACAAAAGTGATGAGTTGTCACAAACGGCTGTGGAGCCAGGTACATCGGTCGTTCGACGCGCATCCTGTCAAAAAGGGTCAAAGAACACTATCCAGCGTGGTTGCAGAAAGGAAGTAGTGACCATATAAGGAGTGCAATAATCGAACATCTCGTCAACACTGGTCATTTCATCTCAACAAACGCCTCCTGCTTCAAAGTAATCTACAAAGTGAAGAACAACCTTCCAAAGGCAATACGTTTCCGTCTTTTTTTGTATTGCAGAAGCCCTAGCCATTCAGTTAGAAGAACCAGAACTATGCATACAAAAGAAAATTATTCAACCAATTCTACTATCATGGTAACAACTCTGTTGATTTGACTTAACTTTTGTTTGTATGCTTCCTTTTTCTAACTACTTAAAACTCTTGTGTAATTCCGTATGTTATTTTGTTTCCATGTACACCCTGAGCACAACTCTTTCATAAACTATTCATGTTATTACGTAACTCTTCTTTAACAATCGTTTGTGACAACTCATCACTTTTGTTACTACCCTCTTATATCAACATCCAATTCATCTGAACTTACTAATTGTATTTTCGTTTGTCAAATTTAATGTACACACACATACATACAAAACAACCATATACATATTTGCGATTGTTCAGCTATGAAAATGAATTCGCCGACGAAAAGAGACTCTTTGCTGAACTACTGGTCGTCTTCTGTCTATTAATGTTCGAATGGGGATTTTTCATGAATTGACTAACTGACTCAGTATGGATATAAAAGCACCATATAGCATTCGCCAACTTATACCATCTCTGGCGTCGAAGTGATATATATGTGAAAATCGATTAAAAGACATATGTACTACCCAGCAATTGGATCCATTCTTCATTACAACTGTGACACACACCGTTGAGAGTGGAAGACTTGAGTAAAGTGGCCGACTGCGCTCTACCTTTCACATTAGGTGGTATAATATAGTTAGTAATAATGGGGTTACGTGTAGAGTGTTAGGTAGGTATAGAGGGGAAATCAATCAATGAGGTTGTGAAGCTGTATTGATTGGGATGGCTATGGAACGTGTTATGCATTCCGAGTCATTGCCTTTCTCACTGAGTAAGGTTAGCTTAGGTTGAAAAGGAGTAAGAGGTGATCAAATCAAACTCTGAGAGTTGTCCATGAAGTCTTTGAGTTACACTGTGGGTGGAGTGGAGTGTAGACTGTATGGATTGGGTTACCGATGGTTACAGGCTGTTACAGGCTTAAAAGTCGTTCTCATTGGCTCAAATGTATTCTTCATTCCTTCTAATCTCCTAGATTAATCCAATTCTCATTATCTTAACTTCATTATATTCTCTTCTATCCGGTTTTATGTGAACTTTTGATGATTTATGGCAATTTGAACAGATGCACTTTTATGCAAAGTTTTACACATTGAAAATTCAAATATATTTTGACCTTTTGTTCATGCAAACTGCTTTGCAGTATTGTGTCAGTGTTGTGTGTGTGTCGGTGGCACAGCAGTAAAATGCTCGCCAACCACGCTTCATGTGGTCCGGGACTCGATCCCCTACCACTGGACGCACTCCTTTACCTTGGTAAGGCAGTAAGTAATAAGACTGGTAACGAGGGAAGGTTGGGGGGGGGCATGAGGCTAACAACCCCATCCTGTAAAAATAACCACCACTGCTACAGAAACTATTTTATAGGATGGGGTTGCTAGCCTCAGGGCCAACTTTCCGTCTTTTCATGACTAGCCACAGCCTTCCTCAACAACAGCCAATGTTAGCTGACATATTATCAGGTTGGAAAAGAGCTAGCACATGGAAGTCAAACTAAAACATGGCTTCATCAGTCAATGAAATTCACAACAGTTAGTTTAAGCCAGCCAGTCACGTAGAGAGGGAGATGTAGACTTCCTGAATGGCTGGTTGGGGTACTCGCGATGGTAAAAACCAATGAAGGCTGGAGACAATTGGTGATATGGCTCAAAATCCTCATTGTCAATGGCTGGAGTAGATACATCCACTCCTTGTGACTTATAATATCCAATAAATCTATATGGTTCTTCCATATTACTATTCTTTTTGCCTCATATCTCTGTTTACTGTCTCTGTTTTGCATTTCTTTTTACTTTCTTCTTCTTGTCTGGCTTTGTGTGACAATTGAAGTGTGGCGACTCGAACTGCGTGCACATCTGTGCAAAGCAGTTCTACGTTGAAACGAGTCAGGCAGTCAGTCACGGCTTAATATCGGATAGTAATAACCTAGGCTAGGTTCAAGAGTGTATTGACTGGGAATCGAACTTGGGACATATGCGTATGTGCATGTGTGTGTGTGTGTCTGTGTGATTTGGCAACGCGCACTAGAAAGTTAAGACAACAGTTGTTGAATTCCATTTACAAGGGTCTAGGGCACGTACACACGTACCCATACCTAACGATCTTATGACAACATTTTTCAGTCAAAAGATATTTAAGGGAAAATAAGTAAATAAATAAATAACATCATCCTCTCTCATAAGAATTTGACCTTGTTTACTTGGCACAACTAACATTATTATTCGGGGTAAAATAATATTTTTCTTAAATGAACTGAAAGTGTTATTATGGTGGCTTCAAAAAGGTGAAGACAAAAAATATTAAAAAAAATTCCCATTAGGAGGATAATTGTGTACAAAACACATTTGTCACACCTTTATTAACAAAACAAATTGTCAAGAGTTGATTTGTTTTTTTTCGACTTTGACCACGGATCGATCGATATCAGTTAGAGAACTATTGAAAACCAGCACCAGAGTACTGGACAGCTGTTTCGTCAGCCTATTTTGTCTGTCTGTTTTCGACATAGAACTGAAGGCTTCCGTGTGCTCTTGGAAGTGTGTGGGCGGTTGTTACTTCCCGGCTGCTCACAACGTGGAAGTTGATTGATTCTTCGGGTACCTTAAACAACAGAAAGAGGATTCGTACTGCATGACTGCAGAGCCCAAGGGACAACTGCTTGAGACCGGTTACGGACCACCGTAGGGTAAGTCGAGATGTACAATTGTTGGAGTTGACCTTTTCTAAACCCCTCTCTTTCTCCAGAGTGGAGAGACAGCATAACTGGCTGGCATGCTGGTCATCTGAGGGAAACACCTTACTGCTGTTACATCCCTGTTCCCCAGCAGTACGACGTCGCCCACAGACCCCCAGCATAGTGTAAAATAATTCTTACACTAAGCCGGTGACTGCTTTTAGTCTAATCGCCATCCTAACAACCTTCCTGGGATGGTAGGACCTGCAGGAATATTAGTTCCAGCCAGTTTAGCTTGTTGGGTCATTGCGATGTGCAAGCCCGACCACCACGTCAAGGTAGCAGCTATCGGTCAGGCAGCCTAGTTTGAGAATCATCAGAAGTACGCACCCGCCACAGGGGATTCGAACCCAGGACCTTCCGGTTACAAGGCAAAGTAAGCTCGTATACCACTGGGACCCGACTAAATGACCAGCCAGTATCATCGGTGAGAAATCCATCCCTACTCCCGACTAGATGGACCTAACAGGTGACGACTTCTCTCACTAGAACTCCAGGAAACTCCGTTCTGTAACAAACCACTAGCGAGCATCAGATGAAGCAGTTGTCCAGTACTCCCTGGCTGGTTTAGTAATGATTCTCTCTAACTGATATCAATCCGTGGTCAAATTCGAGAAACAAATTGTGTGTGTGTGTAAAAAAGCGCACAACAACGCCAGTGTAAACAGGTTAAATGAAGAGACACATAAACAAATTATTATTATATTATTATTATTAAACGGATAGGTGGAAACTTACCCTTGACCAATTTTTTCTAATCTTTGATATTTTCTATTCGGATCACCAATACTAACAATCATTCTTAACTTTTCTTGTATCATATCATCAGTCATTTTCGATTTGTACTTTTTATTATTTACATTAACACGTTCTAGTGTATTGGTTGTGCAACTATTATTACTACTATTAATAGTATTAGTATTAGTATTGGTCGTAGAAGTGACAGTTGAACTGTTGTTACTCAAAGTAGTACTTTTTGACATCATATGATGAGAAGGTTGTTGATGTTGCTGTTGATGAGGAGGAGGATTGGTCGTTGTATTCGTTGTTGTGGAAGATGTAGTATTAGTCATAGATGCCTTACCATTACTAATACTGGTTGTAATGCTATCACTACTAGGAATGACAGAGTCCAATAGAACAGGATGCGTTGAAGCATTGTCGTGTGGCCGTCTGCTTCTTCCCGTCTTCTCTTCACCATCATAATAATCATCATCATCATCGTGGATATTAGCATTGCCAATACGGCTGACAACACCGCCGCCGATATCATGTGATGAAGGGACAACACAGATATTTGGTGTTGTCGATGAGGATGAATTATTGACGCTGTGTGTACAGTTTGCAGTGAAGTTGATACCTTCTGCAATTGGTTGAGTGTACTGAAGGCAGAAAAGAAAAGAAAAGAAAGGAGAAAAATGTAAAAACGAACAATATTCAACCATGTGTGGTTAAGCAAAGGACAAACAAAATCTATTCTATCTCATCTTGTGGATACAACGGAACACAAGATTGATGTTAACCATGCTTTCAGGGTCATTTACCGCATACCTACGAATCTCAATTTTGCCTTAAGAGTTCGATTACTAAATATTGCTGAGGCTGGCTGTTGGGATCCATATTAAGAAGCCTAATTTGTGCATCCAAAAGAAGTTAGTTCAGACATTATCCTTACCTTGGCCATCTAGGTTTGAATGATCCTGGAATTTTTGTGGAATTTTCCTAATTTTAGTTGACATTCTATTTGCTACTATATCTTTATTATTATTATTATCATCATTTAAGCATCTTTAATGTACTGTAATTCCATTGTGATCTTACTTTACAAATCGATATTATTTAAAAACACTAATATTGTTATTGACTACTATTCGAGAATATTCTATGTATCTAAACATGCATATATAATTGTAGAGCCAGAAGAGGAATTTATCGAAAGAGGGATATTCTTTGCTCAATTATTTTGTGTTTTATAATACTTTAGTTATACACTTAGGTTCCAAGTGGAACAAAGAGCTTCAACAGAACACCTCCATTTCATCTTGTTATCTGCAGTCGTCTTCAGCTGGTCCCCCGTTTGTCTATAGGCTCTCATCTCCTCTCACCCCCCCCCAACTTATCGTTTCTCCTACTGAGATTCCACACTCGAGGCGTTGTCTTATGCGTGATGGGCATTCATTGCCATGTTGCTACCCTTTTTTTATTATAGTTACTTTGAATGTCTTTTCATCCCTCTGTCTTTTCTCTGCCTTTGTGTGCTACATGGAGTATGGCGACTTGAAGTGCTGTCTGTCTGTCTGTTTTCGACATAGAACTTTGCACCGATGTGCAGCAGTTCAAGTCATCACACTCCCTCCATGTAGCACACAAAGCAAGAGAAGAGAGTAGGAGAAATGCATATTACAGACAGTAAACAGAGGTGTGAGACAATAGGAATAGTAATAACGAAGAACAGTATAGTTACATTGGAAATCATAAGTCACAAGGAATGGATACATCTGCACCAGCCATTGGCAACGAGGATTCTGAGCCATATCACCAATTGTTTCCAACCATTGGTCTTTACCGTCCCGAGGACCCCAACCAGTCAGGAAGTCTACACCTTCCTACGTGGCTTAGACTTGAAGTGCTACATTTCTGTAAAAAGTTCTATGCTGCAGATACTCAGTTAGTTAGTGATAAGGTGAAGAGAAGAGTGTATGCGTACAACAGTAAGATAACTGGTGGAGGATGGGGGCGGTTGGTAGTATAGAGAAAAAAAATGGACGCCTCTTCCTTGTCTGTATTTACACGCCTTCGTAACTATGCAATCCATATTTTATTCATTCGTAAACACAGAGAGGAAAAGGGAGGGAAGCAGAGAGAGAGAGAGAGTGAATATATAATAATATTTTTTAGGAGTTGATCACGGATCGATATCAGTTAGAGAACCATTAAAAAAAACCAGAACCAGAGTACTGGACAGCTGTTCGGTCAGCCTAGTTCGGGAATCATCGGCAGTACGCACCCACCACTGTGGGGGTTCGAACCCAGGATCTTCCGGTTACAAGGCAAGCTAGCTCGTATACCATTCAGCCAGCCACTGGGACTCGATTCACTGGTCAGCCCATGAATTCTAACTTTCAACCAATTCGTGATTTATCGGGGTTCGAACCCTAGTGGGTGCGTACTCTTGAAAATTAATCTGATGCTCGCTAGTGACTTCCTACAGGACGGAGTTTCCTGGAGTTCTAGTGAGAGAAGTAAGTGACCAGTGAGGTCCATCCAGTCGGGAGTGAGGATGGATTTCCCACCGATGACATTGGTTGGTGCCAGTCACGCTAAATGCATCACGAATTGGTAGAAGTTAGAATTCATGTACTGGCCATTGAGTCGGGTGGGTCGCAGTGGCTGAATGGTATATACGAGCTAGCTTGCCTTGTAACAGGGAGGTCCTAGGGTTCGAACCCCCACCCCCTAGTGGTGGGTGCATACTGCCGATGATTCCCAAACTGGTGCTGGTTTTCAGTGGTCCTCTAACTGATATCAATTCGTGACCAACTCGTAAAAAAACAAATCTAATCCTTAGAAACCAACTATTGAAGATATTGATATTATTATTAGTATTATTACTAACATAAACAGATTACAGCATTTTTGGCACACACACACAGTAAAAAACTGAAAATAACCTGTAGTTGAATAATCAAACGATATTTTTTTTAAATCTCATGTTCCTATGAAACACACCAACTATATATATATATATATATATGCACATTCTACATTCCAAAATTACTTCTAACGATTTATCATTACACCATTGTGCTATATAGTCAATCCACTAATATAATAAATACATTATAATGTAAAGATAAGGTTAGCGAAATAAAAAGAAAGTATCTTCATAAAGTAGAAATTGGAAGATCAGGTTGAAAGTACTAAAAAACAAAACGACGAGGTAAGCTTATATATCACATATATTATATATATATATATATATATATATATATCCAAATCAAGTTCACTTTTAACAGTTTGGAAAAAATTTTTGGGCCATATCAGAAGAAATATCAAACATTACTGAGACTACTCACTGTCTGTAAACAAGAAGCCTCTTTATATATACGACTACAATTCATGGGCGATATACCAAGCGAAATAATTACGAAGAAATTAAGAAAATCAGTTCAAAGAACTTTTAATGCTGGAGAACTACACGTATTATTCTCTACACGACCGATGGTGCTACCTCGACTGAAAGATGAAGTACCTAGACTAGCCAACCACTTCCAATTGTATCTACCAATTCAACTGCTCTTGTGGAGTGAGTTATATCAGCCGTTGCTCTAGGAACTTGATTTTTCGTGCTCTCTCGAGAACATATCCCACTATGGCTAAGTAAAGGTGTAGTTAAAACTATTAACAGTTCGATATTAGACCATCTGGTGCAAACCGGTCACAAAGCCAGCCAGCGTAGAAGAATCCTTCTCTATAATATACCGGGTGCCTAACAAACTACCAAAATCGTCGAAGCACCGCATGCTCCAAACAGCAGAGGCTATTGCAATTCGCTCAACACAGTGCTCTTGTTCAAAAGAAACAAGTCCAGCGCCTACTACTGCCCTGGCCCTCAGTAGAAACTATAAATTCATGAATTTGTAATAGTATCTTTCATAATTCTTCTGACATTCAGTTTATTTTATGTTGATGCTGTTCAGCTGTAATCTATCAATATTATTGATTTGATGTTATTTAAACAGACATTAATGTTGTTCATAAGACTAATTCATTCATTCATTATAATGTATATATAATTGTAGAACCTAATGATGAATTTATCGAAAAGAGTACTCTTTGTTCCGTGTCCATTCTTTTGAAAATTTTAATGGGCATTTTTAATCAATTACTGAGACTCTCAAGCAAAATAACTACCCAAAGAACTTCATCAACAAAAATAAACACTGACATTAAGTATGGTCGAAAACACGTATTCCGAAAACATGGATGAAGAACGTCAACAGTTGTCATTCCAGACGATATCAGAAGAGTACTCAATAAGCACCACAGACATCAGAGTTTTCTTCAAAACATCTCAGACACACGCACTACCTTGTCCAAATCCTTAAAGATTCTCTCTCTAATTGTGGCTATAAAATAAAATGTTTAGAATGTGATGCGATATACATCGGACAAACATCTCGAGAAATCAAAATCAGAAGAAATGAACATCGTAGAGCATCCGTTCGACTACCGAGAAATCTAATTGAACTAGTAAAGCTTGAAAAATCATCAGCCATAGCTTGTCTACACGCTAAAATGTCAAGCCACAAAACTGATTTTGACAATATTGAAATAATCATCCAGAAAAAGCATTTCAGAAATCACAAAGAACGTCTAATATCATCAGAAGTAACTCATATTAAATGGAATCCAAATTGTCTCAGCTGAATAGGAATAATGGACTAAAACAGAATTTAACCTGGTTAAGACACCCCCTCTCTTCTCCCACTAAGTGACAAAATCAACACGAATGTGATAAGATTCTTTTTTATTCCTTCACGTTCCCAGTGGAACATAGGGCTTCAAGCTAGAAGCTTGAAGCAGTGGTGTTTATTTTTACGGGATGGAGTTGCTAGCCTCATGCCCAACCTTTCCTTTTTACCAGCTTTATTTCTGGCTTAGTGAGGTAAGGGAGTGCGTCGGCCGGGCATTGAACCCCGGACCATGTGCATGGTCGGCGAGCATCCTAACCGCTGTACCACCGACGCACCAATGTGATAAGCAATTTTATTATATAAACACATGCTACTTTTATAATTTCATACACTTATCAAATCCAACAATCTACACCTGGTTTTGTTTTCTTTACCATTCGGCCAATTTCACAACGCAAAAAGCCCCCATTGCTGAGGAACGATGATTACATTTTTGTAGACATATAAGCTGAGGAGATTTTGTGAATTCTGGTTTAATAATACTTTGATTTCGCTATTACCATTAAATAGCGAAACGTTAGTAAAAGCAATATCGTTTTGTTTTGCATTCATTGAGAAATGCAAAAAACCTTAATTATAAGCCATATATCGTTTGTAAAAATAGGATCATAGTTTAGTGATCTGAGATACGGTATATCAAAATGCCTCTGTATGTGAGCATATTTCAATTGAATGCCCGTACTCACTCAAAAGTGTGTGTTAACTACTTATCTTTCCTCGAATCGAAGAGAATTTTTTGAATACGTTTTTGATCCAGAACCTTCTGTTTACTAGGCAATGTCATCGTATACCATTCTCAGCCAATTGGACCGAATCTAATGACCTGCAAAATTCTAGCTTCTATCAACTCACGATTTTAGCATGACCACGAGCCTATGTCATCATCAGAACGAGTGTTTGTTCTC